CCGACGCTGACGAATTCAAGGGGAGGGGCACCGGTGGGAGCTGTTCGAAGTTGGCATCCTCGTCGATGCCGCTGATGAAGTCGAGGTGATGTTCTTCATAGTTCTGTAAATCATGGACATTAGGATAGGTGACATCAGCTATGCAGCCTGGACATACGTCGTCATCACTAGCCCAGGAGGAAGAGCGGGCGTCCCCAGGGTTGTCGATGGTGTCGTAGATGGTGTCGTAATAGAATTGAATACCAGGGGAGAGTTCAGAGTGAGGCGTCCTAGAGCGAGAGAACCGATAGACGATAGTAAAACCAAAGACGAGCAGAATGATGCTCCCCAGTATGCAGGCGGGAACAAAGGCCTTGACCGGGGAGTATCCGCCACTGTTCGAGTACACTGATGCGCGTGGGCCGTCCAATAGGAAGACCGTAGGAGGCGCATCCAGCGAAGGAGCAAGTGCATAGCCGAACAGGAAGCAGTAGAGCCGTCGAAGAGCAGGAGAGATACTGCGAAGTACGCGAGACAGCAGGTCAACACCCGAGAGGAGGTGGACCGCGTCGAAGAGGCTGCCAGTGTGAGTGCTGGAGAGCGAAGACATGGTGGTTCGATGATGAGAGAGATAGAGGGACTCGCTCGCCTTTTATGTTGGTTTCCTGGCGGCTGACCGGGGTATTCGTGTAGCGTGCCAGCCGCTCGAAGCTACCAGTGACGTCGAGCTGTCTGGAGGCTGGCAGCCACGGCGTCCAGCAGTCCAGATTGAAATGAAGCGGCGGATCGCTCTTTCCCAATCCCGCGGTAATACACCCTCATAGGTCGCGTGAACATGAAGGAGTGTTATATAGAAGTAGACTATTGAAACTATCAACATCGAGGCCCTTCGCCGGAGTCGCGTCGGCGAGTGCGCAAGGCGGCGATGCTGCTACAGGAGCTTGGCGAGACCGGGACATCCCCACCTTCAGTAACGTACGCACCAGAACGTCGATCTTGTCGCAAATGACTCGTGCGCGTATGCCAACTTGTGCGAGCATCATGAGGTGTAAATGAAGTCCCCGAAGATCCCCATTACTGCGAGTTTTACACAGGAGTGTATAGTACTTGCGTACCGGAACTCTGTGGAGCGAGAAGGAGACTCAGAATTTGAATCTCTCCGCTTTATGCCGACAGGTCGAGGAAACGCACCATCGCGGAAGGATCCTATAGGAGCTCAGAAGACGAATTCTCGTCACCGCAAGTGACAAGCACGATCATCAGCTGTGGTCCTCCAGGACATCTCTTTGCGAAGACACCTGCTGATACCGTTCATAAAGAGCCCGCTTTCGTAGAGACTCCTGGAGTTCTTCCTCTCTCTGTCTCATCTTCTCCCGCCGACGCTCATCATCCCGAAGAACACCCTGGAACATGTTCTGCGACCATGGCTATTAGGATTGGAATGCGTCAACATACACTCCACTCACTTCATGCTCTTGCTCCTGAAGGAAATGTACACCCCATATCGTGAACGCAGACAGGCATACTGAGGCTAGTAATGTCGCCTTCGCTGCTCGCGACATTTGAACTGGTACTGATACTGAGTTTCGGCTCTTCAATCAAAAGTGAGCCGCTGTGCAACACGACTAGAAGAGACTAATGCGCTGTATTGCGACCATGCCAGGAGTCGAGCAGTACCAGTAAATCGGACTTAGCCAGCGTCCGAAGACCGTGACGCGCTGATGGCAAACGTGACAGGTGTATACTCGTCTATACCCGATCCGAGCGCCGTCATAAATCTCCTTGCTTTCATCTGTACCTTGGATTGCTGGCAGGTCGCTCGGTCGAAAGGTGAGGATAAAGCGTTCGAGTGATATACACGACGTGAAAACTGATCATTCATTGTATCAGTAGTCGGCCCACCCGTACTAACGATGCACAGTGCACTGCTCGTGGACGAAATATTCCGCCAAATACTCGATGAATGCGATGACCTCAGCGACCCGAGCTCGCGGACGACGTTGAGTCGCCTGAGTCGATGCTGCCAAGCGTGGAAGGATGCGGCCCTGGATCAGCTATGGCGCCGATTGCCTAGCATTTCTCCGTTATTATCCTTGATTCCTGGACATGTCTTCGTGAACGGACAGCATGTGCGTATCAACCTCCTTGGACACCAGGACCTTGCCATTCTAAACCGTGTAGCTGAACGTTACTCTTTAGACCCTGGCTCGCCATGCTGGTATCATCTTGCTAGACGAACTTTCTACTTTTCATTCCTACGCGCGCCGAGTCCACCGTCTTGTATGGACGGCCGAGACGCATATCTGCCGGCACTTGGCGTCTTACCTGGAAGATATGCGGATTCACTCTTCAACCGGCACCATCTTTCCGCAACTAGCCTCATTCCACGGGACTTTCGTGGTGACTGAAGACGACGTCGTCCCCTGGTCAATTGTATTGTCGGGCAGCTTGCGTCATGTAGACATCCACGGCCGTTTTAAACTGAGCAAGGGAGGCGAAGAGGCCTTGTCTAATTGGCTCACCCGGCTGTCGTGTGTTGCTCGTCTGGATTCCTTCAACTACTGGGGATGCGCTCGCAAGACACTCGGTCAAACTATCTCATCCCTATCGACTGTCCGGTCCATGAGTCTGCGGACCGGCAGCCAGCTCGGCTTCCATGAAGGTACTCTGGCAGGGATCGCGACATTCCCGCGCCTTCACACTCTGAAACTCACACTTCATGATATCTCTGCGGCTCAGTTTTTCGCCGCTCTCAATGATTTCACTGGCCCAATATTTCCGGCCTTGCAAAAATTGCATATAGACACGTCTCTCGAGCTCTTAGACTGCATCATAGAACATCTGCCTCAAGATACCTTGCGTTCCCTCCATATAGAATTCCCGGGAAGCACCGTTTCAAACTCAATGATGCCCGTTCTGGCGAAAATTGCTGATCGGGCGGCCGATACCTTACAGGACCTCACAATAATACACGACGTAGAGACGGACGATATCCAGTACAGCCTAGAAAACGAAGACGACCTTCATGACCCGTCGGTTATAGCAAGATACGGCGACCTCTTTTGGACGATAGACACACTACAGCCTCTAGCCAAGCTGCGGGCTCTACGCCATTTCGACTTAGACACTATACTTCCTCCTCTCCTACGACACAAAGACGTCGACGAGCTGCTGGGGTGGTGGCCTCGCGCAGAGCGCGTGCATCTGGCGTTTGGCTCCCGTGAAGAGGACGCCAGCCCTTTCGCCAAGAATATTGCACTCCAGCTGGAACAGGCCCGCGGGATCAAGAGCCTGGTTCTTCCCAAGCGTGATGCTCTCGGGAGGCCCTTCGACATTGCCGCCCTATCCCGCTGCTCCACTCCTGCTCCCAAAATCTAGGCCTGGGAATCTGGCCGCGACCTCATGCTTGACAGGACCCCTCCACTGCTTTACTCGTCGCATGTTCGCGCTTTCAAGTGTCGGCGAGTAAAATACAATCAGCGGCCCAGCTAGGGCACGCCGTTTGGACTCAGCTGGTCGTCGGACATTCTGGTTCTTGCGTAGACCCACATTACATTCGACTTTCCTCAAGTCTTAATTTGTTTCCAGAACTACCTTCAAAATCGATAGAATGGGTGGTGCCGGACTAGAATATATTCACCCGCCTGTAATTCGCGCATCGAATGTAATTTGGATGATCAGAGTCCTTTGGTATGAGCACTATACCGTTCGTCTGGATGTTCGATGGGTGTATGAATCCTCCACAAGAGATTCAGAGTATCAATATGGCGAGTGTGGTACTGCACGTACAGTATCGCACTTCATTTAGACTTACCCGCTCCAAATCGCCGTGAACGCCACAAAGTTTGATGTTCGTAGAATCGTTCCTCTCCTCAAGCCTCGACCGTGTAACATGTTTACAGCCTACCGCACCAATACCACACAGCTACGAGGCTTGTTCCCGGGGGGATTCAGATGAAGCGATCCGCCGCTTCATTTCAATCTGGACTGCTGGACGCCGTGGCTGCCAGCCTCCAGACAGCTCGACGTCACTGGTAGCTTCGAGCGGCTGGCACGCTACACGAATACCCCGGTCAGCCGCCAGGAAACCAACATAAAAGGCGAGCGAGTCCCTCTATCTCTCTCATCATCGAACCACCATGTCTTCGCTCTCCAGCACTCACACTGGCAGCCTCTTCGACGCGGTCCACCTCCTCTCGGGTGTTGACCTGCTGTCTCGCGTACTTCGCAGTATCTCTCCTGCTCTTCGACGGCTCTACTGCTTCCTGTTCGGCTATGCACTTGCTCCTTCGCTGGATGCGCCTCCTACGGTCTTCCTATTGGACGGCCCACGCGCATCAGTGTACTCGAACAGTGGCGGATACTCCCCGGTCAAGGCCTTTGTTCCCGCCTGCATACTGGGGAGCATCATTCTGCTCGTCTTTGGTTTTACTATCGTCTATCGGTTCTCTCGCTCTAGGACGCCTCACTCTGAACTCTCCCCTGGTATTCAATTCTATTACGACACCATCTACGACACCATCGACAACCCTGGGGACGCCCGCTCTTCCTCCTGGGCTAGTGATGACGACGTATGTCCAGGCTGCATAGCTGATGTCACCTATCCTAATGTCCATGATTTACAGAACTATGAAGAACATCACCTCGACTTCATCAGCGGCATCGACGAGGATGCCAACTTCGAACAG